AGTGCATTAGGCCTTTGGCTTTTAATAAAAATTCCCCTAGAACAAAAACAAACAATTGTTCATTCTATCCCAAACAATGCATTTCAACACAAATGACAGGCTTTGATTCACCATCATGTCAAAAAAGTTTCAAATCAATCCTAAATTATTTAATTTTAATTCAGTGGCTATCTTGACAGCAATTATTTGCATATGCCTGTGCATGATACTCAGAGATCAGTTTTTTGTTCTTCTTTTACAAAAGCATCAGGAAGAAGTGAAATATCTGAGCTGTCACCAAAACACATACAAAAATGTTGCCAATCTCTGGCTTCCAGAAAAAACAAGTGATTCTATGGGAAGCAGTAAAGTTAATTATTTCTTGAGCTCCTTTCCCTGGAGCAGTAAGGTAGGGATGTGGCTGCAATTGAGGAAACTTAACACAGCTCAAAGCTTTACAGAAGTGTGAGCTCTGGTACAGAGGTTAGTAAGGAAAAAAACAAATGCAAACACTGCCTCATGTGACTGCCGGTGCTGCTGTTTTTAGAAAGGTAAGTATACCCCTCATGATATCAGACACAAGAAGACAAAGTCTGGGGCAGTCCCCAATTAGGCTTATTGAATGGGTGATCTAATCAGGGTTGATTCCAAACTGGGCGTGTTGATGTTTGTGGTTTCTTAGAGCGATATCTAAGCCAGCATGCCTTAGTTATTTTTGAAACCATACACTGGCCACCTCCACCCTTGCTGACCTAAACAAATGAATGCACCAAAGTCAAAGCAATTAGCAATGCATAAAATAAATGTATTGCAAGGGTAGTGAAGGATAATTTTCTTACCAGCACATCCCAAGCTGGGAATCAGGAATAACAGCTCCTGTTAGCACCCCATTCATAGGATGTCCCTTCTATATAAGTTTTAGGGGTTGTTCACATGGTAAATTCATATCTGCAGGCAGCTAGAGTAAAAAACCATGAAGGAGGAGTATGTATGTTACCTGCTCAGCCTACCTGTTACTTGGAAAGCAGAAAAGAGGGAAAATACAACAAGGCAAAACTCAACAAAAAAATATTTCCTTACTGTGAGGGAGAGGGGCAAATAGTAGACATACCAGTAAGTTAAAACTTCAGACAGGTCAGAGATCTACTACATGGCTCCTGAGTGGACATTTACCTTGTATCATAAGCATCCAATTTCTGGTGCATTATTTAGGAGAGTTGCACTATTGCACCCAGTGCACATTGTACCTAATAATCTCAGAGCACTTTCAAATGAGAATAAAAGTTAATAGAGTTGTAGATTTAAGACCAGAAGAGACCATAGATTCATAGATTGTTAGGGGCTGGAAGGGACCTTGTAGATCATCGGGTCCAGTCCCCCTGTACTAGGCAGGAAAAGACAACTGGGGTCAAGTGACCCCAGAGAGGCGACTGTCCAGTCTCCAAACCACCATGACCATCTTGTCTGACCTCCACTAAAGCACAAATTAGAAAAAAAACCTAACCCTGTGCTCTTGGCAGAGAGCTAGGACTTCTGGCTGAGCCAAAGGAAAAAAAGAAACACCCTCTAATTGTTCAAATATTAAGTGACAGAAAATCCACCAAAGACTAAATCCAAAGAAAGGATTTAAGTGACCACTTATCTCTTTAGGTACCAAAGGTGCAGCTTCTGTACTTGTTCAGAAATGCCTCTGCCTTGACAGAACTGAACAGCTTTGTGGAGCTCATATCTAAGCCCAGACAGGGCCCCAAAACAATGTATTCTGCTTCTTATTGCTCCTGGAGGTACACAGCCTGATAGGCATGTTCAAAGCACACCTGGCACACATCAGATGCAGGTTCCTCAGATAATATGACAGCTACAGGATAAACAGTTGCTGTCTTGTCTTCAAAGGGCACTCTAGGCTAGGGACAGAAGTTACACATAAACCAGTTTAAGTGATCAAAAACTGGATTAAACCTGTAACAGAACATAAGTTCATTGCACATAAGCCAGTTTCAAAATGGCTGAAACTGGTTTAAGGTAAACCTGGTTGAATGGAGTATCAGACTTAACTGATTGGGGTCAAACTGGTTTATGCAAATTCTGTTCCAGACCCTTTCCTGGTTAGAGTTAAACTGGAGTCCACCAGCATCCCAGAATGCTCTCTTGACTGGGCTGAGCTGTGCTCTCTGTTCCAGAGAGCAGGGCTGGCCCTGCCTCTCTTCTCTCTAGCCTAAGCAGGGGCAGGGACATGGCAAGACACTGGCTGTCATGGCCCCGTTAAGGCAAAGTGGGCAGAGAGGGGGTTAATTCTTCCCTGTCCTGGCCAGGCATGCACAGGTGGTGGCTGGCTGGGCACTGGGCTACCCAGGCTGGCTTGGAGGCACTGGCGGGCCTGGTGCCCTGGAGCCATCTGTCACGGGGACTCGCTATGGACTCACAAGCCCCTGCAGTGCTTCTAGGCCAGCCTGGGTAGCTCGCTGCCTAGTCAGCCACCTCCTGTATGCACTAAGCCAGGCTATACTCACTGACAGGGCTCGGCTTCCCCATCATGAGCTGAAGTCACTAGGGAGGCCCCCACCCCACTGTGTGGCTGCCTCAGCCACCGCTGAGCAGGGCCCGGCCAGGCCAAGTGGGCAGGACCACCCCCAGAGGCTGCAGCTCAGTGACAGCTGCTCCCTGCACCCAGGCTGGGTCAGGCAGCACCGCACAGAGCCCCCTCCTCACAGTGGCAGGGGAGGAGGAGAAGGAGGAGTAGGGGGGAAAAGAGCCCACCTCCAGCCGTGAACAGAGTTCCCCTCCCCACCCCATGGGAGGGCAGGGATGATCAGCGGGAGGAATCCCCCTCTGGGGTTGGGCACCTCTGCACATAGTCCTCTCCCCAGCCCAGTGGGATGGGGGGATAGGAGAAAGGGGAAGAGTCCCCACCCAGCACTGAACAGAGCCCCTCTCCCTGCCCCACAAGGGGGAACAGTTCTCTGGGGGTGAGCTTCCCCTCACAAAGCCCCCCCTGCCCACCCCATAGTGGTGGGGGAGAGGGAGGAGGGGGAAGAGTTCCCCCTCTGGGGCTGGACAGTGCTGTGTGTCCAGATTGCTCCTGGCCATCAGGGAGCTGCTGGTGTTGGCAGAGCTCTCCCCTTTCCTCCTCCCCCACCACAGGGGCCAGTCTCCCTCTTCTCCCACCCTCAGAGCCCTGCAGGCCAAGGGTTGGGGTTTAAACCCCTCCTCAGTCTTACTCAGCCCTGCCATGGCCTGGATACACCTGGCATGGAGCCAGGAGACAGCTTCTACTAGCAGAGTTCTCCTGGCCCTGTGCCCATTGGGACTAGGCTCCGTGCCCCCTGTCATCCCCCAGAATGGCACCCTGAAACTCCCTCTGGCTACTGCAGGAGGGCAGAGCAGAGCAGGAGCAAGATTTTCTCTCAACAGGGTTCATATATAGACATGCTTCCATAGAAGGCTTACTGTGCAATATTAATGGCACATATAGATGGGCCCATTGAATAAAATACAGGGAGAGTATCTGCTTCACCCTACAATAGACCATAGCCTGGCAATTAGGATATTCTTACTACAGCTTCCAGTCAATGGATCATAAGCACTGAAGGGTACTTTCAAATGGTGGGTGCCTGCATGTGTTAAAAAAACAAAAAACAGCCCCCGCACCCCAAAAAAACCAACAACCCAGTGCTTTACTTTTAACTCGGTGCATTCCCATGATGAGCCCTGCACATGCCCAGAAAAGGCAGCACATTGTTTCAACCCAGCTCTGTGATATCTGTAAAGATCAGGTGCTGTCCTGAGGCTTTTTTGGTACTTATCTAATACAGCATAACCTCATAAATCTGCATATCAAAAATCCAGAATTATCAAAAATCCGGCACTTCCCTCCACCACTCCAGGACTGGCCACCACACCCCTGCCCTCCTGAACGCAGAGGGGGAAGCTTGTACAGGGTGGCCTCTGCCGCCATTCACCACCCTGTGCCACCATTCCGCATGCGGCTGCTGCTCCGGGACCAGCCGCCACTACCCTCCTTCCCCCACTCTGCAACTGGCTGCTGCTCTGGTATTAAAAAATTCAGCGTTTTAAAATTTTCAGCACGTGCTCGGTCCTGAGCATGCTGGATTTATGAGGTTATACTGTAGCTGATTGAATTAGTTTTAGCTAAAAGCCCCGCCGAAGTGCCCAATCTTTACAGAAGCTTCAGAGCCAGGTTGAAGTAATCTGCTTCTTCTTCCAGGAAAGTACATTTTTAACATCTGCAAGTATGGCTCCATGGGAACTGAGCACCTCCTAATCTTTTTCGGTGGATGCTTGAGCCATGGAGCACCCACAAAGTCAGCACCTATGCATTGGATCATGATCCTCCATTGTTTCCAAAATTAAATCATTTCTCCATATAAGTACTCATAGGGTGTGTACAGGCATTTGCTGGACCCCCATCTCCATTAATACAGCTTAAGGTGGAGCAAATGTAGATGGGGAGGGGCATGTACAGTTGCTCATTGGTCACAGAAGCCATGCACGGAAACTGGAGTAAATTACTCAAAGCAGGAAAGGGGCAGGCAGGACAGGAGAGAAAGTTGTCAGGTTTGCTGGGGGTGGGGTGGGGAGGGGAGAGATGGGGAGGTAGCGGGTGGCACACTGGAGACTAAAAATTGCCCCTTCAGGATCAGGAATTGGGATAGAAAGAGTAGCCTGGAGGCTGAGCTTTCCCAGCCCCAAGGATGACCTCCAAATTTGTACAGGCATTGGATAGATCAGGTTGACCCATTCCCAATCTGTTAGTTCACCTCCTCAGATGAATTTAGATGGGTCTCTGTAACAGGGAACCCTAGCCCTGTCACCAGAAAGCAGGTCCACCCCTTTAAAGCCAGAACTTTCTGGCCTTAAAGGCCAGAAGTGCCTTAAAGGCCAGAGTGCTGGTAAGGAAGGAGTTAAATGCAGAGCCTGGCCAGCTAACCAGCTGACGGGAAGGGGTAGGACTATAAAAACCCCAGGCGGAGCAGCAGTAGGGGGACAGCAGCTGAAGGAGAAGGAGTGCTTCCAAGAGCTCCACAGAGAAGCTGGATGAGCAGTCTAAAGGCAGGAACTATGGAAGCTGCACCACAGCAAGGACTATAGCCAGCAGTGGGGAGCTTCAGCATGAACCCTGTGAATGTAAGCTGACTTGCTGCTTTTCTTGATCATATTTGCTGGTGGCAGTTATTATTTTTCCCTTTTTGATTATTGAATAACAATGGTGGTTTCGGTGAGGCTATTAGGGAAGGAGGAGGCCTCATTTTTGGGGCCCACTGTAGAGTAGGGACCCAGGTGCCAGCGAGGGTGTGTCTTTTGGGGGCACAGACCCTGGCACCAGTGAAGGCATGGGTTTTTGGGGTACCTAGGTGTCAGAGCCCATGTGGGGAGCACAGGACTTTGGGGTGCTCTGACATGAGTACCTGAAGGCATGATCTTGAAAGGCCAGGGAGGCCCGGTGCACTTGAGGTGTGACTTTGTTTTGTTTTGTTGGCTTTTTTTTTTTTTGGACTGGGAGAGGGCGAGTTTGGGTCCGTCTCCTGGCCTTGAACTTGCAGCTCCCCTGGCTGTGGGCCGGTGGCCTTGCCTTGGGGCCAGGGTGGGCCGGGCTTCAGATTGGAGCTCAAGACCCTGGAAAAGGCTAGAGCCTTGAAGTCAAACCCTGTTTGGTGAGGTTTTTAGATGAGGAGGCTTAGCTAGAGAAAGTCAGGGGTCAGGCCTGCATAGGCAAAAGGCCCCAACATACAAAATACAATGGGCAGTCTCCTGCTCACAAGAACATCAACAATAATTTCCATCAAGACATGGCAGGCGAGTAGAGGGCGGGACATAAGAACTCCAAAGAAGACTCCAAGGGCGCCCCATGTAAGGTGTGGATTACCACGGAAGATGGCACTGGGGAGGGCAACCTGTTACAGGCCGACCACTCTTTTGCCTGATTTAACCCCCCTGAACACCTACACAGATGGGGATTTATGCCTGTACATACCTGTAGACTGTGACCAAGTCGTTCTAAACTTCACTGAGATAAATGAGATGTTGAGATCCTGTACTATACTTTCCCAAACTTTGAATCATTCTCGTAGCTCCTTCCTGAGCCCTATCCACTTTGATGTCATCTTTGCAGTAGTAACACCAGAACTAGAGACGGTATCCAAGAATGTTATACCAGATGAGCAAGACCAAAGTAATACAGAAGTAATTTTTAACCAGTATGTGATGTAGGACTACATCAAATCTTCACATACTACAATTTTACAGACGGGAAAAACTGAGCCTTAATGATTGGTCCAAGGTCATATAGCAGGATAGTGACTGTCAGAATTCAAAGCTGACTTTCAGCTTTCAATTCTACCCCTTCAACTACGTGGAATAGAATGTTCCACAGGACAGAACCAGTCAGACCTGTATTGGGGACATGTGGGACTTAGATTGTTTTGTTTTCTTTTTAACTTAAAAAAAGGGAAGTTGAGTGAAACTGTCATAGGCAATATTGAACCTCTGGGGGAACTGGCAAAATGAGCACCACAGCAGTTAGTCAAGCAGAAGCTGTAGACAGGATTCCAGAAAGCAGTTGTGCCACTTAGCATAAGGTCTGACAGAACTCTATAAGCCAAATACATGTTAATCAATTTAGTGCTGTTCGGATTAATGGAGTAGTCACACTTTAAGGCAAAAAACCTGCTCTGATTTCCTCTCGCCTGCACAGTTGTGACTTGCTACTGCAGGCATGGTGAGAAGGAGCAGGACAAGGAGCTAGGGGAAAGACAGGTTCCCTACTCCCTCTGGGCAAAGTGAATGCTGCAGCCCTAGCTCCTGGAAGCCTTGGAGCCTCCCACCGCAGCTCTGACCAGCTCCGCTTCCAGCTTTGCTCCTGGCCAGGCAGGTCCTAGCAATGGGAGCAGAGCCAGTTGGGTCCAAGCTGGGGGGATGAACTGCATTGCTTCAACCTGGCTGGCTTGTGGAGCACCCCCAGAGGTGTCCTGGTAATGGCCAGAAACTCCTGAAAGAACATTTCAGGCTTAACGCTAGGAAAAACTTTCACAGTTAGGGTGTCCAGACTGTGAAATAAACTCCCTCCAGAGGTGGTACACTCACTTACCCTGGAAATCTTCAAGAGGAAACTGTTCGGTCACCTCGCTGAGGTCATCTGACCCCAGTTGTTTTTTCCTGCCTAGTTCAGGGGGGCTGGACGTGATCAGTGATGATCTTGCAAGGTCCCTTCCAGCCCCTTACAATCTACAATCTATGAATCGAAGCGGACAAGAGCAGGATATCACCTCCTCCAGTGCATCAGGCCTTTGGCTTTTAATAAAAATTCCCCTAGAACAAAAACAAAAAAATTGTTCATTCCATCCCAAACAATGCATTTCAACCCAAATGACAGGCTTTGATTCACCAAAGTCTGCCCCCTCAGTTGTTCACTTGTTCAAATCTCTTCTCTGCCTAACTTAAATCTTCTGCCTCTCAAAGTGCTCTTTACCCTAGTCTGTCTTAGAAGGGTTTTTAACCCGTGTGTGTGTGTGTGTGTGTGTGTGTGTGTGTTTTTTTCCTAAATTTAAATATTTAATGGGGCCAGGAAGAATGACTCAGTAGTTGGTGTTTATGACATTCAACAGACAAGAGGAACTTCTGGGCTCCAGACCCAGGTCCAAATAAAGCAGAGAGGATTTGGCCATTAGTTTCATGTGCCCCAGGTAAATATTCAAACTGCTGTTACTAGTGGGACGGATCAACAGTAGCCTTGGAACTACTATTTACTAGAAGATGTTGAGAGAGGTAGTTAGCTACATCAGGCTGAAGTCAGGCGTAAGGCAGAGCAGAGTGGTACCTTTAGAGGTGAATTGGTTCAGGGAGGCATATACTTTAATAGGTGACAGATTTTCTACAAAAACTTATGCCTGACTGAATCGTTAATCTTGATGGTGCCACTCTGCCCTGTCTTCTGCCAAAGTCTTCTTAGGACTCTAATGCTACCATTCCCAAATTACTGTTTCCCCCCCCCCCCCCCAACCCCCAAATATATTTACCAAATTCAGTTCAAATTTGAAAATGGCTGCTTGGGGTCAATCAAAATGACTTTTTACTTGTCGAAGAAAACAGCAAATACTTTTTATCTGAATTCTTAGGCAACCCCACCAATATAATGTCCTCCACGAGTAGAGCGGTAGTTAGCTGCGTTATTCTGAATTTAGTCAGAATGCAGGGCGGTGTGGCACCTTATAGACTAATTCAGTGGTGCTTAACCTTTCAGTGGATTGGGCTAGGTGAATGGTGTGAGGTCAGTCTTTGGACTAGATCCCAAGGGCAGAGTCAGTCTATGGACCTGATCTAGTACTGGGTTGCTGCAGAGGGTCAGTCCATGGGTACAATCTGGTGACTTAGCCCAACCCTGGGTGCTAAATATAGCTGTGGAACAGGCCTGTACACCACTGAAATCTGGCCTGTAGCGCAATGCCACCTGGCCTGCAGGGCTCTCAGTGGGTCTGGAAATGTGGTGGGGAAGCAGTGGCAGTGTTAAGTGCTGTGGCTCTGGAAGCAAAAACAATTAATGCTGCTACAGCTCCACCACTGACAAATTTACATGCAAATGGCAAGTTTCATGGTCTGGCTAACACGGCCCTGCAGGCTGGAGGTTGACCACCACTGGAATAGTTCAGAATCATGAGATGTCATATGCTATAGACAAATCCAGGGGATTCTCAGCAAGTGCTGTTCTTGATGGACTCTATGGGCACTTGTACATGACATGGTATTTGATCCTCATTGATTTACCATGCCTGATAAAATTTAACCCAGGTTATTGTGAGGCAGCATGTTTGTGTTTGCACACCACGTGCTTTCGAGTGAATTAAGTCTCGTGTGTCATTCCCCACAGATTCCAGCATGGGGAGGCAAAATACCAATCTACCCCCAGTAATGTCTTTGCTAATGATTATAGCAGGAGGTGCATTTAAACCAGCCTCAACAGTCCCCACCCTGTGCCCCCCCCCCCCCCACAAGTCTCCTGCTAACTCCTCCCTATCCTCACTGCCCAGGCACAGTCACCCCAAAACCCTGTCACTTGCACCCACCTAGACTTGGGCCAGTCTCCCAGTAGGCAACCCCCATGGTGATCCTGATGACAAGCTATGTGAATCATCTGCTCCTGTCCCTTTCCCTTCCCCCATGTTACAAAGTAATGGCAATTTATATATATGTTTTTTTTTTCTTTTACTATATAAATAACTGATGTGATATCAGAAGTGTACAGGGTTGAGACTAGCGGGTGGGTGGGTGGTGTTGCTGCCATGGTTGGTTGGCAACTGAGGCTGATGGTGGTGTTGAGCTCTTACTTTTCTAGCTTTTTAGGACTATATTTTGCAGCATTCCCAAGCTTCCAGGCCTTGGAACAGTTTACATGGGGTGTCAATGGTGCTGCTTCTCCTGCTCCCCTTCCCTGCACACATTCCACTGTGAATCTGTTTGTGTAGTTCAACATACAGCTTTTGGAGGGATGTTGTGAAATGTTTTTTGTTTGGTTGTTGTGTGTGTGTGTTTTTTTTTGTTTGTTTGTTTTTTTTGTTTTGTTTTTTAAATGATGGGTGGTTGTTTTTGGGCTTGGGGTGGAATATGCCCCTCCCTTGCCACACTCCTAAGACAGACTTCAGGCTGTTCACTAACCCCCCCCACCCCCCCCATCTGCCCACTGGCCTTTGGCTGCCAGCCACATGCCCCCCAACTGGCCCATGAGAGGTATACTTAACCCTTCCAGTCCACCTCCCTCCCAACCTGCTCGTCCTCCCCTCCACCCCCCAACAGCACAGTGACAGAGGCAGCTTCTCCTACAGATAAAAATGGGAGCATGTCGCGACTGTATGGAGATTTTTCCCTGCTCCCGGTGATGGGGACTGCCAAGAGAGTCAGGGGTGCACCACTGACTTGATTCCAGTGCCACTCCCCCCTCCCCCCCGATTCCACAGACAAGCACAGATGATGAGGTGGAGGAGGAACAGGAAGAAACAGATGAGGCTAATGGAGTTTGTGTTCCCAACAACACTCAATCATCATTTTATGTTGCTGAGACCCAAGAAGATCCATAACTGGTCATTTTAAATATCTGTGCCTCTTGCCACTGGCAGGCACTGCTCAGAAATGTGCCAGTTGAGCTTGGGGAGCTGGGGAGGGGGGAGGAATTCATGTGTCACTGGAGTTTGGTCACAATGCTCTTTCGGTGGTGGTGGATGAAGGGTATACACCATTCTCTTTTGCATTTGGATAACTCGGAATGTAACTTTTTTTTGCTTTAATTGTTTGCAGCTGGCATGGGCAATGGCAGCCATGGATGTGGTTCTGTACCAGCCACTTGTAAGTATTGGGCACTCTGAATGGTGTCTCACTCTTGCAGGGTCTGTTTCTGTTCCTGCATGCACTTTCTCCACTGCAGGGTGGGGGGTGGGGGTGTGTAGTTTCCTTCTCTTGGGGGAAGGAAATGTCACAAAACCAGGAAGCCTTTTTTCATTTGTTTTACCAGTTACCACGCCTAATGGCAGCCAGGAATGTGCCCCTGCACCTGTGACCCAGCTCGCACTACAGCAGAGTGCTCAAGGGATATGTGCCACAGGTAGTGATGCTCCCGAGAAAGTTCGCTGGAGGTTTTGGCAAATTTGTCACGAGACAGACAGTCACATGCAGATTCCTGGTGGGACAAACTCTGCGAGTCAATGCATTTGGGTGATGCCCTCCTTGAAGTGTGAGACCACATGAGGAGGTTGGTAGTCCCGTGTTGATTACCAGAGGTCACATGACTTTAAGTTATGTCCTTCAGAGAATTTTTAAGCATCTCTTGGAAAAAACACAAAAGTGGGTACCATCCCAGAAAGGGAAAAGTAGCTCCGCTTGACTTGTTTCTGTCCAGGAGGTAGCCAGGAGCATTACAGGTGAACCTTTCCCCTGAAATGTACAGCTCTCCCCTGACACCAGTGCAACTGCCAGCAGGGCCAAGCGGCCACCACTGCATTTCGGGGATCCAGGGCCATTTCAGGGTGATGGTGGGGTGAAGACAAAGAAGGGCGCCCTGGATCAACTGCTCACAATATTGTGTTTCTTACAATAAAATGTCACGTTATCCTGGCTTTCTGCATCTGGCTTCATATATTTGAAGGGAAGGGCTGGCAAAATCCCGCCTCACACTGCTGGATGGGGAATGGGGTTTTTGTTCATTTTTTGGTTTCATTTCTTTTGTCTGTTTGTTTTTCTGCATGCCACATTTCCTAGATGTTTGCTGCATGAGGCACATGGGAGGGGGGGAGGGGCTAGCAATCTCTCATACACAGGGCACAGAGCTGCCTGGGTGGTTTGCCCCTCACAAGGCTGGCTGGCCAAAACACCAGCAGTTTGCCAAGCCATACACTTTGCAAAGGCCCCCACAGAGGCTGATACCCTGTCTCTTCTGCCTGCCTACCAGGGGGGTGGGGCTGGGGGGGCTGGTGGGGGCAGCCTGCAGAAACCTTGCTTGCATTTTGCCAAGCCACACAGTTTGCAAAAGCCCGCCATAGTGACTGATGCCTGCCCAGTCTCTCATGCACAGGTACACAGGGAGCTGCCTGGGTGATTCACCCCTCACAGGCTGGCTGGCCAAAACACCAGTAGTTTGCCAAGCCATTTGCAAATGGTCAAAGAACATGAGATTTTTCTAGACGGGTACAAAAAGTGGCTCAAGCTTTGCCTTGCAAAGTGCTTCCTTGAGTCTCGGTGCACAAAGAAATGGTAATTCCGTCCTTGTTACAGCCACAGGAAGTAATGCTTCACCACTTGACTACCAATGCCAGTGCTAGTAGGGCAAGGGTAACTAACTGACATTAGATCGCCATATATGTGTGTACGTACACACACACACACACACACACACACACCTGTTTACAACTACAGTCACTTGCTAGTAGTAATACCTATGGGACATGTCCCTCAAGGGACATTGAGGAGAACATTTGAGCTGAGGGGGACATTTGATACATACATACATACATAAATCATAACTGAATAAATACATAATATATATGTAGTTATATAAATGTCAGTGGGCCATAGTCATAGGGGCTTCTTATCACCCTACTTCTGGCTTAACTACTAACGACATTCTAGCTTCCCCACTGCATGGTGGGCTTTCCAATCTGCACACACCCCTACCAGCCTGCTTTGCAATGGGTGGGGAGAAATTCCCTCCTAGCTGCCTCTTGCCCCACTGGTGTGGGCTTCTAGTATCTTGTTTTAGATTTAACACAATAAACAAGTCTTTTCCATAAGAAAAAAGACCAAGATTACATACAGGTTTTCACAGTTTTGGAAGTAAACTTTGAGGGTTTTTACACCCCCCCCCCCCTTGATATCACCATCAGCCTGAACTGGGCCTGCTGCTGCCCCATGGCCAGGGAGGGGGGGGGATCCTAAAATTTCCCTCCCTCCATCCCTAAGATGGGACATGACCAGGAAATAGGATTCCATCCCTGCCCACCAGCTCTCTGTTACCCCTTGCTTCAGGTTGGGGGAAAATTGTCTTCCTGTCTGTACATGGGCATGTTAAATATCTAATATTAAATAACATTTTTATTATTATTCACCACCACTTGACTACCAATGGCTTGGTTTATTAAAACACAGCTGTCTATACTATTTTAGCATTTGGATAGCATTTAAATTTATTGTGAAATCCCAATCAAAATAGATTGCATTTCAATGTATTGTGAAAACCAAAGGACACAGAAAAATGTCTGGGCCTTCCAACCCTGCATGATGGTCCTACACACACACACATACACCACCCAGGTTCATGCTGAGGAAAAACACACACACACACACACACACACACACACACACACCACCCAGGTTCATGCTGAGGAAAAATTCCCTCCCTGCCTAGCTTCTTTTTGCCCCCCATGTGCGTGGGCTTTTAGCACTCAGGGTGGTGTTTTAAGGACCTGCTTCCTGGTTACTGGCCATGTTCCAAATGAGGCATTTGTAGATGACACGTGGTCTCCCGTTTTGTCTGCTGCAACTGTGTTTGTGTTTGCACGATCAGGATTTCTTGCCACTTTAAAAGTCTTTTTGACACTTTTAGTTTAGTTAACCCTGCTCAGAGAGGTTTTATTTCCCAGCGCACAGGCTTGGCATGCCTGATAGTGTTGTGCACACACTGAGCATCTCAAAGACTTGTAATTGCTTTCCTTTGCCACCAGGTAGTACTGTGCTTTTTCTTTAGCCAGTAGGTGGCACTGTTAATTTACTTCATGTGTTAACCTTAACCCCTCCCTCCCACTGCTCAGTTGACCAGGTCCTGATTTGAGTGAGGCGTGGCTTTCAAAATATATTATTTTAAGTATACATGGGTAGGAAAATGGCCAAGGAAGAGCAAACCCGTGGTGTGCAACAAATGGTGTTTAATTACCCCTTGGTAATTTTTTTTTTGCTTCCTGTAATGCATTATGTGTTCCCTGTGTATCCACTGCCCATGCCCCCTGCCTGCTGTGCCTGCATGATTCATACCTGCCCATCACTGCAGCATAAACAGAATGGTAAGTTTGCAAAGTTTTGAGTTTGCTACCCCTACCCTAAAACTTCCTTGAAGATTTCTCTTTTCAAGCCTTCCTAGTTCAAACATTTTCATTCCAGAACTACGGAGAATAGTCCAGATGGATGCTGCCTGTCAGATGCGCCATTTAATATATCCACTGGCCCCCTGGTTTTGTGTCTCCTTTCTTCCTCCTCTCTCCTAACAATGCGGCAAGCCCTCCTCTGACCAATGAAGGATAGAAAAAAAAAAAGAACAAAAAATGATAGTGTTTAGATTTTGTATACATAGAGATAGTTTTATAGATAGAGTTATATTTTGTATTGATAGAGAGAGCTTATAGATACAGGTATATATTTTGTATAGACATAGCTTTAATATTTAATATTATTATTTATATATAACTCTCCTTTAATTATTATCTATTACTTAATTTATGTACTTTTACTTAGTCTTTTTATTTTATTTAATAAAAAGTACCGCTTTTTCTTTTAATAAAAGTTTTGTAATTTTTTTTGTGTATATACTTATACATATACGTGTGTGTGCGTGTGTCCTGTTTTATTTCACAGGCAGATTTGCATGGCTAATCAGGCCTGGGTGGGGTGGGTTGGCAGACCTGAGGACCATACCCTCCTCTACTCAGGGTGGGGATGCTTTGCCTGGGTGGGACTGTATATGGAGTCATGGCATTATTGGAAAATGTTTCAGGGTGGACTGTTATCAGAGGCCAAATGCTTGTCCCCCCCCTGCTCCCCATCCCAATGTACAACGATCCTGGTGAGCCTGTGGGTGTTGCCAGCATCCTCCCCTGCCCCAGCCCAAGCAGCAAGCAGGCAAGAAGTCATTCTTATAGAGGGCAATTAGCAACTCTTTCTTGTATTATAATACATGGTCCTCAGGGGTGGTGGTGTCCCCGTGGAACCTAGAACATCTTCAGGGAGCAGTTTTTTTCTGCCCATCCAACCCTCCCCCTGCTTCCACACCGCAGCTATCCACAGGGAGCCAGGTAGTGAAGGTAATGGCAGAGCAACCTATTCTGGGACATTCAGTTGTTTTTTCCTACCACCAGTGGTGCCCTGCACCACGCTCATGTTCCATCCAGCACCAGTGCCCCTCACCCGCAGCTGCTGTGCCCAGCACGATGTTCAGCATGGAGCACAGTGGCATCTCCACAATGGTAAGTTTGCAACAATGGTAGCCCTTAACCCTTCAATATTTCAAACCTTCCTATTTCTTATAATTCCCATTCCAGTACCCTCTCTCCCTGCCTGCTGTGCGCACTGCCACGGTGTTCAGCACTGCCCAGCACAGCAGTATCAGCAGAATGGTAAGGTTCCAACCTACCTACCCCTTAATCCTCCAATATTTCAAATCTTCCTATTTCTTATATATTTCTAATAATTCCCATTCCAGAACCACGACAAGTAGTCAAGGTGGATACTACCTGCCAGACCATCCCCCCAGACTAGGAAGCATCCCTCATGATATATCAGTAATAAATGTCTCAGTGACCTTGGGGGAGGAAGGAGTTCTGCAGGTGGGTGGGCAGTGTTTCGACTTTTGTTGGTTCAAACCCCTGTTCTTCTTTTTTCTTCCCCCCTTGCAGAACACTATGGACATCAGAGAGAGAAAATTTTCAATATTAATACTATCAAGAAGCCACTTTTTTTTCCATTATGATTATAAAGTTCAGAAATTTGAAATTGTATCAGTTCTTTTTTCTTTAATTCATATATGCATACCATTGCTGGTAAGTGTTATAAGGCTTTGGCCTCTTCTTGATGGGCGCCTTGCCTCCAAGCGACGTCAGGGTGAGACTTAGGCTCGGGTGCCACTTAGATGGTATGGGTGCTGCTCCTACTTGTCTGCCACATCTTCGATGTTCTTTGTTGGGGAGGCTGTTCCCTTCAGGTTGCCCCCAAGAGCAAAGAAGGCTCGATCCCGGTTCTTTCTTCATGGGGCTCCAAACCTCCCCTTTACCCCACCCTTATCACATCCATGGCCCGGATGAACACCGGACTCAGCAGGTCTTTTCCTGGATGATCTCCCTTCTCACCCAGCTTGCTCACCTTGGACTAGATCAGGCCTTCCAGGCCAGTTCCACCTTCCCTGCAGCTGGTTCCTTGGCTTCAGGCCAGCTGGGGCGCATAAGCCTGCCCTGTCTTCAGGCTAGCTAGGGCATCCAATGAGACCAACCAAAAGAAACATCTGGCCTCTGCCAAAGGACCCCTGGGATCCTGTCTCCCAGTGCCCCTTGATGGCTCAAAAATAAAGAAACTGAAGCAAAAAGACGGGGGACTCACTCGTCCCTGTGCTCCAGGTGACTGTGGAGTTGGGCTGCCGTCCTGGATCTGCCTCCTCGGTTTGGCCACTTCAGAGCCCTAGCTGACCCGGGGTCACTCTCCATCTGCCCCAGATCAGTGGTGAGGTGTGCAGTTCCCATGCTGGGTTGCTCTTGTCTCCCCGTCATGCCCCTCATGGGGAGTAGCCTCTCCCTGCCAATGCCTCCCACCACCGTACCTGGATTCCTTGGTGGGGCCGTGGGGTTGCTCCCAGAGA